TTGCTTAATAAATCACATTTTAAAATATGTACAAAATATGTTAATTCTTTACTTACGAAAATTCGACACGTTTAAGATTATTAACTTTACGAACTTAAAGCAATTGCCACGTTTTGCTATTCTTGCTTATAGAATTAGTTAGACTGTTTTTCACGCTTTTGACACGCTTTCGCCATGTTTACATCCATTAATAGCGAAGTAACGCTACAAAAGTGTTGCCGGTGAAGTGAAAGACTAAAACAGAAATTATAAGATACAGATATTTATTATACAATTTTAAAATTATGGAAAATGATTATTATGATTATTTATCTTATTAAATGATTATTATGATTATTTATGATTTTATTTATAATTATTTATGATTTGGATAGCATCCATTTTCGTAAAATACTTAATTACAATACTTAGTTACAATACTTTTTCTTTTTGTACCATTTTTCTTTCTTAATAAATGTATCAGGGTTAGTACAGCGATTATGCATCATCTCCTAATGAGAATCGAAATTAGAATTTGATTTATAACTGATGATCGCTTTACAAAACTTAAAATTGTCAAAAAACTTTTTTAAAAAGAAAAAAAAATTCTTGACCCCGACGTGATTTGAACACGCAACCTTCTGATCTGGAGTCAGACGCGCTACCGTTGCGCCACGGAGTCTCACGACAAAGGCATTCAGATTGCGCTCACTTCAGCCCATTGAATGTAATAGCTTGTTAAAATATTTATTATGTGCTATCTTCATTGTACGAAAAATTATTCAAGTAATTTTTCATTTATTTCTCGTCTTTTTTCGGAAAATTCAATATCTATTCTCATCGACGAGCGGGATTGTCTTGGAATAAGAGAAAAAGTTCCAGTACGCACGGCATATCCGTTGTGCTTGTTTTGCCGCCATTTTGCTCATTTGATTGTGCTGGACGTTATCCATTCCAATTTCGCAGACGATTTCACATCACGACGGAGCAAGTAGAATAAGCTTGAAAGCACGCGATTCTACGGGCGACGGGGATTCGTTTGTGTCAGGTGAATTTCGCGCGTGATCGGGAATCGTCGAGTGATACGAGCTCGATCGTTCGGATGATTCCGTTGGTCCGGCGGGATTTTGAATTCGTGACGCGTGATGGACGTCGACGCTATGGCGGGCATTGAAAATACCCGAGCGTGATTGTGATCGCGATCGTTATCGTCTGCGTAATTTGTTCACAGCAATTCCGAGTGATCCACAGCGTTCGACGGTACATTAGCATCGCGCAGCGAGAAATGCGATCGGGGTTTGCAGAAGTGAGGTTATTTCACATTGTAGCTCGGTAATTTCGTTTACGAGGTTCGCGCGGGAAATCAGAAGTCTGCGAACGCGGATGCTCAACTCAATAGTTTCGTTCGCGGCTTATTTCGCTTGAGAATCAACACGTCTCGCCGAGTGCCGAATGTCGCGTGCCGATAACACGAACGTTACGTGATAGATCCGGTCTATGTTGACCGGCAATGTTGCTATCAGCAAGCTAACCTCGTGACGCGGAACGAACGATTGTGAGCTATGGAAGCTAATACCGAGATGGCTAATGACACCCAGGAGAAGAATATCTCCGATGAACGCGACATGGAGGTCGACACGCAGGATCATGGATATGATATGGACGAGGAAGGTGGTCTGAGGGTGGATGACGAGATATATATACCACCGCCACTGAAGAACTTCAACGAAACAGACACGTCTGGATCTAGACTCATGATCATCAAGATCGTCAACGAAAATTTTAAGAGTTATGCCGGTGCGCATGTAATCGGACCCTTTCAGAAGGTAAACATATTGAATATCTGTCTAATATGCATAATCTGTCATATAATCTGTCATAATCATATCTGTCTAATAAGCATAATCTTCAAGTTAGTCTCTCTTTTCCAGAGTTTCTCAGCAATAGTGGGTCCCAATGGTAGTGGCAAGAGCAATGTAATAGACTCTATGCTGTTTGTATTTGGCTATCGTGCCAGCAAGATTAGATCGAAGAAGGTATCTGTTCTAATACATAATTCCAGTGAGCATCCAAACTTGAATAGTTGTACAGTCTCTATTTACTTCCAAAGAATTATCGATAAGGTATTAATATCAACAATACAATTTAATTTAATATTGATTTAAGTGATAATTTAATACCAGTAATGATAATAAGTTAATTTTTTATCTAATTTTAAGCCTGGTGAAGATTATGACATTGTTCCTGGTAGCGAGTTTGTTATATCTAGAACAGCATTTAAGGATAGTTCATCATATTATGAACTTAATAAGAAGAAAGTACAATTTAAAGAGATTGCTAAGCTCTTGAGGTTTCATGGAGTTGACTTGGATCACAATCGTTTTTTGATATTGCAGGTAGAATTATATAAAGAATGTTTTCCTTTATTAAAATTCAAGATTGTATTTTTATAATACAGTTTATAATATATATTTAATTTTGTTTTTAAATTTTTTAATAATTAATTTTTAAATTCAAGCTTTATGAGGCTACTTTTTCTTATACAATTTAATAGCAGACTTTATTATTTGCGAGTGAAACTTGTATACAGCTCTCTTCTAATAAAATATTCAATATTCCTTCTTTTTAAAAAAAATAAAGAAACGTTAAATTATTTTAGTTCTACATTAAATATTGATATCAATTAATTCCAATATATAAATTAAACTTTTATAAATCAAAGTTAAATTAAACTTTACATTGATAAAAAATGCTTTTTATAGGGTGAAGTAGAACAGATTGCACTGATGAAGCCAAAAGCTCAAAATGAAAATGACACTGGAATGTTGGAATTCTTGGAGGACATTATTGGTACATCTCGTTATAAAGAACCTTTGGAGAAATTAACGAATAAGATAGAAGAATTAACGGAACTTAGAGTGGAAAAGTTACATCGTCTCAAAGTCGTACAAAAGGAGAAAGAAGCCCTGGAGGAACCTATGCAAGAGGCGGTGCAGTACTTAAAAACAGAAAATGCGATAACTCAACTGCAGCATCAACTTTATCAGTGTAAAAAGTGAGTTGGAAATAAAGTTTCATATTGTTTAATTTCAGTTTGAAGAAATATTTAATATATATTAAAAATATTATGACAGTTAAAAATTCTAAAAATCATAAAATATTTCTATCAGATCTGAGGCGATAAAAGAACTTGCCGAATATGTAGCGACGAATGATAATTTAGAGAAGGAACAAGCCGCTTTAACGAATGAGATGAGTAATGTTCGTCAAGAGAAAGACGAAAAAATCAAGATTATTAAGGAAAAGAACAAAAAATGGGATGTTTTACAACAGCAGAAGGATGAAGCCACGACGAGCTTTAACGAAATCCGCAAACAAGATGAGTTATTGCACGCCGAACTGGTCGAAACGAATAAGCGACGAAAAGCTAATATGGCAACTACCAAAACGGTAATCTTTCATCTTGCTGTATTAATAATAAATTATAATAACATTGAATTTACATATAAATTATATGTATCATAATTGTGAGGTTTGTTTATATCAAATTATATATTTGGCAATTAATACACAATAATAGGAAAAAAACAAGCTGGAGGAATTGCTGAAGGTACCGGAGAAAAATGCAAAAGATATCGAAGAATGCGAACATCTAATTGAGACGAATATGGTCAAAAAAGAAAAAGAAGAAGCTTCATTGGCGACTTTGATGATGAATCTGCGGGAAAAAACAGAACCATTATTAAACGAGCGGTCCAAATTGGAGCAAAAACTGATATCTCTCAGGAAAAATGTAGATCAGGCGAAAGCAGCATATGATATCGCTCAGTCCGAATTACAGCTTTACATATCGGTAGAAAAGATCGAGAAAGAGAAATTGGAAAGTCTCCGTGAATCTTTGGAAAGAACTGTAAGTACTCTCAAGGAGCGACAGAAACAGCTGGCACTGTTTGAGACAAAAATTCCGGCAACTGAGAATAGTTTGGAGCAAGCACAGAGCGAACTGAACGAGGTGAAGGCACTCGAGATGGAAAAGACTGCTCAACTGCAAAAGATGCGAATCACTTATGAGGAGCAACGTTTTGCCATGCAAGCCAGTACATCGCGAAACCGCATCTTGGATGCATTGATGAGAGAAAAACGCGAAGGACGAATACCTGGAATACTTGGAAGATTGGTGAGCTTCACGGAGATCTTTTAAAATAAAAATAATAAAAGGAAACTTGCATTAGTTATTAAGATAAAATCGATATATTTAATCAGAATATTAATTTGCTGAACACAAATGTAGGATTGCATAAATTACTTTATAATATTTTATCATATTTTCACGTTAAAAGCTTCAATTTATTAACTGTTGCATATAACACATTTTATTTCTTATTATATTACGCTTTTATTACACCTAGAGATAGATTTCTTTGCCTGAAATAACATGTTTTTTTTTTCTGTGCAGGGCGATTTGGGTGCCATTGACGCTCAGTATGATGTTGCCGTGTCGACTGCATGCGGTCCGTTAGATGATATCGTTGTAGATACAGTAACCACGGCACAAGCATGCATAACTTTTTTGCGAGAGCATAATATAGGACGTGCTACATTTATAGCGCTGGAGAAACAGCAGCGATTTCAAGACAAAATTCGTCACAAAATCCAAACACCGGAAAACGTGCCTCGATTGTTTGATCTGATCAAAGTGATGGATGAGCGGGTGCTGCTAGCATTCTATTATGGTCTGCAAGACACTCTGGTAGCAAAGGATTTAGATCAGGCGACACGCATTGCTTATGGTAGAATGCGTTATCGCGTGGTGACGTTGAAAGGTGAACTAATCGAGTTGTCGGGTACAATGAGCGGTGGTGGACGCACAGTACTGCGAGGTCGAATGGGTCAGAAAGTGATGAGGAATGAGCCATCAACCGCTGATATCGAAAAGTTGCAATCACAGTTGGATACTGTATTTGAAGAGTGCAATAAGCTAAAGGCGAGGCAACAACCGTTGGAACAGCAGGTCCATGTATTGTCAATCGCTTTGAGGGATATGAAGGTTGATAAACAGAAATTCGGTATCGAAGTGCAGGCGCTGAGCGAGCAGGAGCCATCGTTGCGGGCACAACTCAAAATGCAAGAAAAGCACGCTGCCAACTCTGTATCAGATCCGAAGAAGGTCGCACAATTACAAAAAGCGGTGGATACGGCGAAATTGCATCTGGAAGAAGTTGAAGAGAATTCCGCCTCGGTAGAAAAAGAGGTGGAATGTATTAATAAGAAAATAGATGAAATCTCTGGCAGCAAGGTGCGGGATCAGCAAGCAAAAATTGCACAGCTGACCAAATCGATAGATAAAGCTAAGGCGGAGATATGTCGTCTTCAGGTAGCCATTAAGACTGCCGAGAGAAACGTTAAAAAGACGGAGAAAAATATAGAGACGTTGGAGAGTGATGTGCATACTTGCGAGCAGAGACTGAGGGATATTCAAAAAGAAAAATCCGAACTCGAGGAACATGCTAAGGTAATTCTGGAAAAGTTGAAGGAAATCAATGAGAAGTTGGAGGAGCGAGATGATTCTACAGCATCCTTAAAGGATGAGTTGAACGAATTGCAAACACGCGAGGACAAGATGAAGGCAACGAAGATCGACCTAGATCAGAAATTACACGAAAGTAAAAAACAGTTAAAAGAACTTCAGCTAATGATCCCCGAATACAACCGGCGGATAGCGAAACTGGAGTTACATGCGATTCCGCATGAATCTATAGAGCCACTTAAAGATCTGACGGAAGAGGAGGTCGATCAATTAGATATGAAAATTGTGATGCAGAATTTGCAGAGGGCCAAGAAGAGATTACCCGAGCAGATACCCAATATGCAGATTATTGCAGACTATCAGGTGAAAGACGCGCTGTACATGAAGCGTGCTTCCGAATTAGAGGAGACGACATCGATACGCAACAAGATGCGCGACATTTACGAGTCCGCCCGACGACGCAGGATCCAAGAATTCCTACATGGTTTTACCTTGATCACTACTAAATTGAAGGAAATGTATCAAATGATCACGCTAGGTGGTGATGCGGAACTGGAGTTGGTAGATTCGTTGGATCCATTAAGCGAGGGTATCGTATTCAGCGTGCGTCCACCCAAGAAATCATGGAAGAGCATCGACAAACTCAGCGGCGGCGAGAAAACTTTAAGCTCGTTGGCACTGGTTTTCGCTCTCCATCATTATAAACCTACGCCATTGTACTTTATGGATGAAATCGATGCCGCGCTCGACTTCAAGAATGTCTCCATCGTCGGCAACTATATTAAAGAACGCACGAAAAACGCGCAATTCATAGTTATCTCGTTACGCTCAAACATGTTCGAATTGGCCGACTCTCTCGTTGGTATTTACAAGACGTTTAACTGCTCCAAGACTGTGACTCTCCATCTCAGTCATTTTTACAAGAATAATAGTATCGTACCACCCACACAGCTTACCTCCAAGTCATACGCGTCCCAAGCGACGCAGAAATCGAAATTGTCTTCACAACGTACTCAGCAGAATTCGCACAAGGAGAATACTGCGCCTGTGAAAAATAATAATGTGAAGAGATCATCTTTGAGCGAAGATGAGACATCGCACACACAGAATAAAAACGCAAATAGAAGATCGTTGAACAGAGAAGAAATGTCGCCTGCGAAGAATAATAATACGAAGAATATATCAGTAAACAGGGATGAAATTTCGCCCATAAGAAACGATAATGCAAAGAAAATATCATTGAATATGAATGAGACGTCGCTTGCGAAGAATAATAACGTGAAGAATACGCTAGATGACAAAGAAACGAATGTGAAAAATAGCGCGAAGAAAACACGAAACGGAAAACGACTAAAAATTGATCAACAAGAGTAAGTACTAAAGATTATCAATTTCCTATTCCTGATTTTCGCTGTAAATGTATTGTATTGTGAAAGTAGTTTGATAAATTCATGATTAATGATACATCTTGATAAAAATCAATTATTGTTTATTATTATATAAATTGATTGAGTTAATAGATAAAGCATTTTTTTTTTTAGAGATTATTAGATATGAATATTATCTTGAATATTTATTATTGCGTGAAATAATTTTCTCTTGAGCGATTTCGTTGAGCTTTCGTTTTATTTAAGTCCATATAATTATATATATTCTTTATTTACAATTTTTTAATAGGAGTAAAATTTTTCATAACATATAAATTATATTGATAAAATATATTGAACTTTATACGTTGTATATAAGTTACATTAAATATAAAGAAAAGTTCAAAGTTAATAAATTGATAAAAATAGAATTTTAGAGAGAATTTTTTTATTACAATATTTAACATAAAACAATTAACTTTTATAAAATCAAAAAAATAAAAACGTTCAATTGCTCTGGCATTAAAATATTAAAATTTTGCGCAGCGACAAGAAAATTTAGACGATTTATTTATTATTATAAATTTTTGAAATTTATTTAATATTAATTGTTACAGGTGTTCAGAATTGAGAGTATGTACGACGCCGGAGCAAGTGCCAACTCGTCGTTCCGCTAGGATCGTGAGAAAGAGTATGGACACAGATGAAAATAGTGTTAATAAGGAGCCGGCTAAGAAAAAGCAAAAAGCGAAGTGACCAATCGACTTCGGACTTCGAGAATCATTGTCTTCAGCGGACATATGTGCAAAACGATTGCGCAAAGCTCGAAGACTAGTATAAATACTTATAAATCGCTAAAATATAAATATCGTTAACATATTTCTGCGTAAATTGAAGCTTACGGAGCGACGTTATTACACATCTTCATAACCGTTTAAACGAGCCATTTGGATGAAGATGCGAAATAACACATCATGACTGATATGTCAAAAAAATATCGCAACAATGTAACGACTAATTAGATAATCATTGATATAATTTTATTTTTAAACGTTACACATGCAAGTTCTCAGTTCTTTTATGATTTAATATTTTTGCGTAAATATAAAATATTGAAAATGACGCTTCCGTAACGGAGTAAGATCTAATCCTTTTAACTGTGCTTTCTGTATTTTTTTTTGTCACATTGTATCTTTTTTTCTTTTCATTCTGATGCTTGAATATATGCATTATGTATACATTATTTTGAATATAATTAATACAACTTAGTTCAGTTAAGAGGAATAGAAATTGAATAGAGAGGAATAGAGCTATTGCATAAAGAATGCAAATAGCAATATTTTTATACATTTGTACATGTCGCTAAAGTTATATTAAAACATAATTACTATTAGAACAAGAACTGAAATACTTCATACTTAATTTTATTATCTATCGAACAATCCTACGCACTTCCTTATCTGTTTATCATATAGTTATTTCCTCATTATTAGAAAATAATTATTTTTTAATAAGGATTATTCACGTGTGTTTGTCGACTGGTCGGTTTCTCGATGTCTACCCGAAGTAACTGCGATTATGCTAATATAGACGAATGACCGACGTTGAGCGGTACACTCGAAAAGCCGGAAAAGTGTCTCAAGGCTAGTTGCGTTCGCCTCGCCACGAAACGGCCTCGATCTTTCAGATTTGTTTTGTACTCTCACGAGTAGTGTTTCTCCTGAAAAAGATTCAAGTCGCGATTTTAGACGGCGGTATTTCAATCCGCGCGAAGAGTTAAGGAAATCAGATAAATTGTCTATCGGATGGTGACGATGACAGCGCGACGATGACGTCGACGGCGACGATGGAGAGAGGGAGCAGAAGCGTAACCGAGGAGGAAGGGATGTATAAGTATGCTACAACGAGTGAGATAAGGATTTTAAGTGCGAGGAGACGTGGCGCGCGAAATGACGGCTATCCGAAAAGAGGACGACGCCGACGTCGTCGAGAAAACGTCGCGTCGTCCCACTGTGACGTCTCCGATCTTACAACAGAGCTGTAAGAAAAGTGGATACTCGAATTTAATACTCGAACAAGGATTATCGGCGACTAAGAAACTGCGATTTGTAATTAGAGGAATTTGTTTTGAGGATTTCTTGAATCTATATATTGTTCCCGATTGCTAAATTTTTAAAAAGAAAAGTAAATTATATGCTTAGCAGTGAGGTAGCATAAAAATCTTTTATTTTTCTGTAAAATATAAATTTAAAAAGGGAAAAAATATGCATTTGATCGACATGTTAACAAACATTCAATGAAGGGCTTTGATGAAGAGTAGTGAAAATCTGTGTAATATATAAATACATATTCGAAATTAAATTACAAGCTATAAATTTTAATCATTTTGAATTATCCGAGTGGATTGTTGAAAATTTCATTGAAAATTTCGTCGAATCTTAAAACGTGTTTCTCCTGCATAGGAGAGCACTTGCAGCATCGTGTTTAAATTTCTATTTTATAATAGGACAAATTTGCAAATAATTAATAATAGTGTAATAATTAAAGTGCATCATTTATTTCATCAAACCAATCGCGATACGTACCACTTGTTAGTGTTGGACTAATAATCGTGAAGAGTGACCAAAGTAAAATTGCAAATTACAAACTTTTCTTACAACAATTTACAAAAGTGCATTAAAAAATTGGTGCAATCAGAAGATAAAGAGCGGTTTATTACTTAAATTATACATTTTCATACGAAGCGATCCTTTATGCAAGTATATAGAATAATTTTGCGAATCCATTCTTTTTTCATCGCAATTACGTGCAATTTCTTCCGGAAAAGATGCCGCGGTAAAGTGCGGAAGCGTTTCGCGTACGATACAATGTACAATTGCGTTGTTAAACTTAACCAAGATCACCTTGGAGATAGCGTAACGAAATATACTTTTTTTCAACATAAAGAGCCAATACTTGTGTAAAAAATATGCAAATAAATAATTAGCTCGAATAGCTAATATATCAGTTAATTATATTCGGAAGCTTAGCTATAAAGAAAATTCTTAAAAAATAAATTTATTTTATTTATCATACAAAGTATCTTTAGTGAATGATCCGTTCCATGAAGACATTACATTCCTAAAATAAAAAATGAAATAATAGCGCGATAATAATGTCGATAATAATCCGAAAAATTAAAAAGTAATTAGAACGTTATTAACGACACTGTTAGAGACACTGTTAGAGAAAATTAATGAACAATAATATTTATGTAATAAAGCGAAGAGAAATGTAAAAATTGCTGAGATACAATTTTTCTAATCTTCAAATAATTGACGCGATTATGTCTCTTAATTTTGTCATCACCCACGAAGGATGTTCGAAAATGTTTTTCTAGCTTGAATTCGATAACTCTTGTTTATCGTTTGGTTTATTTTATCTGAAATTATCAGACGCGCGAGTTGTAGGCTCGCTTCATTTCACCCGCAATAAAAAGCGATTCATCGCGTGCTCTCGACATTCGTAGTGAGTTGCTTTTGGATCGTCGATGATCCAAAAGTGAGGATCGCGCGCGTGATCGATGGATCACAGATTCATAAATTTCGCTGTGCATTATTTCCATTGAAATTAATGAGTATTAAAAATATATATATTTGTGTATATTATATTATTTATACATTTTCATTAAACCGCATTCACCATAAATCACCGTTGCTTATCTATGTTGCAATTATTCTTACATCTTATCGAAGCTCATTCAGATTACAAGCTATATCGACTCGTTATCATCTAATTTCGTTGGAATGAAATTTAATCTATCGATCGATCTAACAACTAATATTTTTTTAATACACGTGACTTGGTTCTGACTACTATCGCATATTTTATTTCTAAAAAACACATCGCTTACTCATGTTGATAATACATTAGACTTAAAATTTTCGTGAAAATCTTTTATTTTTATTTCCTTGTATTATCGAATATTCTGCTTGATGAAATTTAAAACAACTCAATGGCAAATATATCGGATCTCGGAATAATTACATATTGCATTTATAATATTAATAAAGTGTATATAAAATTTATAATAACAATAAATTTCAAAATAATTTCTACATCGAGCAACTAATACTTTTTATATTATACGATATAAATTTGTAATTTTTCAAAATTTGCTATCGTTCTCTTTTTTCTCAGAAAATCAGAAGAAATCAATTCGAAACTTTATATGCTTCTTTTTCACGTTATTTGTTTATCTTTCTTTCTTTGTGCTATTATCTCTCTCTTATGTTAATGGTAATATATATCATTGGCACATACCTAGATAATTGTATGTGTCCTGTACAATTACGCGATGATTTGTAATGACTTTGTAGCCGAGAATTAATATGCAGGAATTTCAATTGTTACCTAAGTCGCAACACTCGTAAAGAAACCTGAAACTTGAATCGATTTATAAAATAAAAATTTTTATAGGAAATCAATTTATTAATTAAAGAATAATCTCAGCAAATTGATATCTTATCACTTATATTAAGTAATTGATTGAAGTTTTTAATTGATTTTGATGCAGATTGATTTTCACTTTTAGATCGAAAAGATATGTAAATTGGATTTGTAAATTGTTTCGTTTTATCAGAAATTACTTCTGTTAACATCGACGACCTGCTGCGGAAGTAGTTTGTTTTTCAGTCCATTGTTTGTTTTTCTGAAGACACGTGGAGCGAGCGAAACTCGCTTTCGCGACGTGTATACGTGCAATAAGGCTAATCGGATTTTGTCGTTTATTATCGCATAAGATTAACATAGATAGTTGCTATAATTATTATTAACTACATATGCGAAATATGACTCAGTAATTATATATATTATATATGTATGTATTATATATTATATACTATATTATATACTATTATATATTATATACTATACT